GTAGTATTACAGTCTTTATTTTACAGTTAAAATATATATTTATTAAATAAAGTCTAAAGTTACAACTAATCGTGGATCCCTTTAAGCCTTATCATTGACATTCCACAGTCGTATTTGAGTTCATATATTGTCACCTAGTGCAGTCATTCCCAATCTTTTTAGACTTGTGTACCCCCTCAGCCATTTTGTGATACCACTACTACCCCCTCAGTCAAACGTAATGATGATTCTCCAAAACTATAATGTACAACAGCTGATTATTAAATGAAAATGATTTATTTAACCCCCTAGAACATTTAATTCTCAGGCTTATTATTTTTTTTCAACTCAAACAAAGATAAAAATGTTACCTTAAGAGAATAAGTAACGAAATAAAAAAACCAGGTAATGGCAAATGCAGAAAACAGCAGCGTCCAAAATATGTCAGAAACTCACCCAAATGAGCAAATTCCACGTTTTATACTGGATTCCATTTTGTGTTAATTCTGTGATTCTGTCTGCAATTTCCACATTGTGGAAATCATAGGGCCCTAAATATCTGTTCTATTTTTTAAATTTATTTACACACCTGGGAAATTTTTTCCTCGTACCCCCTGTAATAGGCTCGTGTACCCCAGGTTGGGAATCACTGACCTAGTAAGTGACACACGTGAACAAAATATGACAACTTTCAAAGTCAGCTGTTAACATTAACGTTGATCAATAACATTTATAGACCTCAGTTAGTGCTTCTGAATTTAGCCTATAAATTTAGCAAATGCTAATCCACTAATACATTTTAAAATTAGCAAAAGCCCTAAAGCACTAATCGGGATATTAGTTCCCCTATTAGTGCTTTAGGGTAACTGTGCTCACTGCTGCTTGTTTGTTTTAGTATATTGTAACTACAGTCACCTGCCTTCGAAGGCAAGAAGCGATTTGTTTTTGTGCATCAGTGKTGGACACAGTTATACTTAGAAGAAATAAAATAATTTTCAGTAATTGTGATGCACTTTGAAGTTTTGGTATAAAAACTGTTTGTGCTCAGGCTGTGGGAATGCCTCCAGGAAGCCACCCTGACAGCTGCTCCTCAGGCCTGGGGAATATCATGAAGGTAATTAGCAGACTGACTAAACGACTGTTTCTCAAACACTCGACGCTCTCCGACAAAGACGCTTTTCACCGATTCCCCCTTTTCGTTCATCCTAGACACCGATCGGAAGCCACAAACGCGTCTTCTCCCGCCTGATCCCATCTCCAGAGCCGAGCCCCGAGGGGGGCTACGTGGGCCAGCACTCCCAAGGCCTGGGTGGTCACTACGCAGACTCCTACCTGAAGCGTAAGCGTATATTCTGAAACTAGGCGAACGTGGCTCTTGCTGTCGGATTAGCCGAGGACACAGCGGCGTCTTTTCCAAAGGACTCAGTAGCCTAGTTGTCCTTGGGTGACCCCTAGAGGGCAGCGGATAGCTGTTTGAAAAGCTGTCACTCAATGAAATCTAGTGTTTTATTTCTTTTCCTCTGTTGTATTTACTGTTTTTTTTGTAAATCTGCTGTTTTAGTTTGCCTTTGAGTTGTAATTTCTTGTTCAACTTGTACAAAGAGAAAAAAAGGTTAAATAAGTTTTTTTTAATTATTCCTATGTTGAGTGATGTGACAGTTTTGCCAGTTTACAGTGCTCCTTTTTATTTTATTTTATTTTTATAATAGTTGGCATTTTTTAAATGTCATCCTGTCCTCAGTTTCAAAGGGACGTACAGAATATTATTAGAAGCTTTAAGTCAAGGGTTTACTTTTTTAAATGGCCCTCTTTAATTTTATGTAAAAAGTTCAAAAGTTCAAGATGTTCTATGTTTTTCTCCTCCCCTCCACAGAATTGTCTTATTTTCTTTAGAACTGGATTGTGAAACCTCCACATTGCTTAACACGCAGCTTTCCATCCACCAATGCTATTTGTGCCTGATGGTGTGTTTTATGAAATGAAGCTTCACCTTTCTGGGATGTTTTTTTTTTTTTTAACCCTTTTTCCACGTCGTTCGTCTTTTCGATCCTCACCCTCCAAACCTCATTTTCACAACGTCTGTTCTCTCTGCACCGGTTGTCCAGTGGCTGGTCACAACTTGTTCTCACGTGTAAAAGATGCCATTTCAACTTTGCTTTCACTCATTTGTCCCACTTTTCTTGTGTGTGAATTTAGTGTTTTTCAGTGTCTGAAAACATCACTACCTTGTTGGTTGAGCTGGATGATGGGGTCAGTGGGTGTGAGCGTTCTGCCACCTGCTGAGCAGAAAATGCAGAAGCGTATTGCAACTTCTCATCTGTCTAATAATAAYGAAAGCTCGAGGCAGATGATTGGTYGTGTCCTTAACATTTTTTAAAACTTAATTTCTATAATTATCTGGTTGACAGTTTGATTGTTTAAAACTTATTACCTCTGACTTCTGCTCAAGAAGCAGCTACACTTGAACCTGAACAATATTCTTATTTTATCTTTTTTTTTTTCCTGTGGCGATCATCCTGCCCTGTGTTGGCCTCCATCTTTTATTTCCGTGTTAATTTGCTGTGTAAATAGTTAGTTTGCTCACTTTTCGAGTCCAAGCCTTTTCTTTTGTGGTCGGGTGTTTTAAATGATATTTGCTGCTCTCTTCTTTTTTGTGTGCGTTTTGTTGTATTCCAGTGAAGTGTTTCAGAGTGGCGCCACGGCGGACCCTTMATGTTGAGTATGGACCCAGAGATTACAGCTGTACTGTGTGTTCATCATTCAGTTTGATTGGATTTCAACTGCTGTCCTCTGATCTGTACCATCATGACTTGTCTCAGTTTTTGTGTGATGTGTGCAAGTAAATGTTATTTAAACTAGTCGCATCTTGTGGAATCTTGTTTTTTTTAATTTTGGCATTAAGTTTTTGTCTCAGCACTGAGGAAGGAAATGATGCAAAATCAGCGTATTTATTGTAAATGATTCACAGTTGATACTCATCAGGGTTCCTGCGGATCCTTAAAAAGTCTTAAAAGGCATTGAATTCATCAGTCCAATAATAAGGCCTTAAAATGTCTTAAATCTATCTTTCAAAGGGTCTTAAAAACATTGACATATTGTAAGTAAAATGTTTGTAATTCATTTCAAATATTAAAATAATTCTTAACATTTATTTATTTTTAAAAATAGTTTACCGAAGCCTCTCGCAGCTAGTTGTTTTCTGTTAAAAAAAAATTAGGTAAAATTGTTGCTAATGGGCTCTTTTCCATTTGTGTTTATTGTGAAGTTGGTAAATTTAATTTCAAGTGGCATTAAAGAGGTCTTAAAAAGTCTTAAATTTTACTTGCCTTAAGCTGTAGGAACACTGCTCATACAGCATTCCAAAAAAGCTGGGTTATTGTGTAAAATGTAAAAAAAAAAAAAAAAAAAAATCTGCTAATTAAAAAAAAAACTTTTGCAACAAAAACTTTTTTCCCTAGAATACAGTGTGTTTTGATGAGTGAAGAGTAAACTTAATTTTAGCAAAGTTTCAGTCTATTCATTCTAAATTCTTTGCCAGATTTCATCAAATAAGATTTCAATAAGTTTTTTTATTGTAGAGTGTGAGTCACTGTATTCTACAAACTGTTCCTACTAAACTACATAAAGTACTCTACACAATCAGCGTTATTTCACAAAATTAGTTGAAATGTTTCCACACAGTTTGAAATATGCTGATCCTTTTAATTACAACAAAAGATTCCTAATTTGGATTTCCCTCCGTTTACGTAATGTAACAAAGTACAAGTACTTTGTTGATGTACTTGAGTACATTTTTCATTTATCTGTACTTAAGTAGAATTCATCATGGGCACTTTTGACTTTTACTCCACTATATTTTACATTAAAGGCACAGTGTGTAGGATTTGTTGTTTTCAGCGACATCTAGTGGTTGAGTGGTTGAATCATCTTCCCTGGTCCTCCCCCCACCCCCACCCCCCCGCTTCCAAACGCAAAGCAGTTGCCACGGTGTCTCTCAGGAGCCAAAAACCTTTGATAATTCCAACCACAATGTCTGCCAGCAGCTTCAGGACTAGTGATGTTTCAAGTGGTAAGATTATGAGCTTTAATAAGTAAAATTATCCCAGCTACAATGACAGACAACAAATGTTACATTTATAGTAGTACAACTAAAAACTTTTGACGCCGCCACCGCAGTTTGTCCTTCATGAGCCTTCGTAGACAAGATGGCGGCTGCCTGTAGTGGCGACCCGCGACCATGGAGATATAAACAGCTTTTTATAAGGTAAAAATAATAAAACAAGGTCTTTGTCTGCAATGATTAGACGTGTTTTTTATTATTGTCATTAGTGATTATCTCAATTTTGGCTAAAAGAATTGACAAAATCCTACACACTGTGCCTTTAAGTATCTACTTTCTACTCCACTACATTTCTGTAATGTGTTGAATTACAAATTACATTTATGTCATGTCGCGTTACGCTTTTTTGTTTTTGTTTGAAAGTAATCAGTGGCAAGAGGGGGATTGCTGAAATCGGTCCATTGAACCAATGCAAAGCAGGAAAGTACCATTAGACCCTCCTTCAAGAAAAGCAGAGCGATTCTGCATCACCTGCTGGAGCATCAGCAGCAGCACGCCCAAAATGGATTCCACCACGGAGGGAATGCGCCATGGCCTTATTTTAAAGACTTATTCAAGTTAACTGGTTCTAAAAACGACTTTGAATTTACAGCTTCTGTAGCTTTTGTCACAATCTCTTGTGACACAGAATCTCAAGTCCAAGTGTGAACATTGTCAGAGTAAGCACAAAAACATGCATCATCTGCAGCAGGGTTCACTAAAATGGCACCAATGTCATGTATTAGAAGTCTACATACAGTACACACACTTCATGATACTGTACACCATTAGGGAATACATTAAGCAAGTACTTTTAATACTTTACATATTTTTAAATAAAGTACTTACTTTTACTCAAGTAAAAATAATGTGGTAGGCCTATATTTTTGTCTGTTTATCTGTACTTTTACTTCAGTACAGTGTTTAAGTACTTTCTCTGCCACTGCCACAGATTGATCTCAAAACACCAAACAAGCTCAGCCTAAAAGTGTTTTCTTGCCATCAGCTTCCAGTCCAGGTTTGAGTGCACTTCAGAGCACTGATTGAACCAGGCTGAGAGGAGTGCTCCGTTYTCCTTCTGTAGTTATCAGTTCTGCAGAGACCGGGACAAAATGTCACAAACACACCTTGTTTCTACCTCACTGCACTGCTTTCACATCRAACCTTTAAAGTGTTAAGTGTCCTCGCTCCTGAATCCATACCTGATTTTAYTGATTTAACACGTACCCTTCCACCAGTTAAAATCCACACACACCACCCCTGCCAACTATTCCCAGGTCACATTTTTGTGACSAGGGTTTGCTGTTTTCCATTAGAGGCCCCCTCTGCTTTCGTGAAGCTCTCCGCTCATTAAATTTTGCCTCACTAAGTCTGCAGCTGCCTTCTAATCCCTTCTTTAAACTCAATTTTGTGAAAGCTTTCAGCAATATCTAATGTTTGCTGTACGTTTTATGATGGCGTTCTTTTGAATGCATAATTTGCAATCTCTTGTAGAGTTTCCATGATCTGATCTGCAGGCAGTCCAGTTCAGCATCTTGCTTATTATTTGTTTATTTATTTTTTGTGAAGTCATGCTGCTGTAGCAGATGCATGATGGGATTTAGYGTTGTTGTGTTCAAACATCACGTCTTTTCTTGGGAAAAAAAAAACAAAAAACATACCTGGATTGGAGCAGAAGTTGCTGTTGAAGCGGTTCGTGCTGACAAGTATTGATGCTGCCCTCCCAGATGTGCATGTTCTCTAGGCACTGATGCACCACACTGACAAAMGATTCAGGCAATTGAACTGAGCGTTCATTACATTCCAGATGGTTCCCCTCCTCTTAGTCTGCAGAATATGGCCCCTGTGATCATTAGAAATGATTCAAGTTTGGATCCACTGGACCGTAATACTTTTAATTGAGTCCGTTTTTAAATGAGTCTCTTTTTAAATCAGCTCTCATGGATCTTGTTTAAATATACAGGTCCTGTTTGTACGGTACAGATGTTACATGAATTGTCTTTTTAAGTGAATCCAGACTGGTTCTGTGAACACTGAGGTGTGTGTGTGTGTGTGTGTGTGTGTGGGGGGGGGGGGGGTGGGGGGGGGGGGGCAATTTATCTTGCTGATACCTTGAAAATTGAATCCATCTGTTTCTGTTCCTTATTCCTGTTCCTCATCGTTTTGTCTATTCCCATTGTCATAATTCTGTACTTGCATATTTATACATTCATGTGTCTATTTTGAGTTTTACCCAATATCAATTAAACATCCACACACACACACATATGTTTGCAAAGCTATCCATTTGGGGACATTCCATTGACTTCCATTACATTTCTACAGCCTAACCCTGACCACAAACCCTAAGGCTAACCTCACAGGTACCTACCTGACCCTAAAACTAACTTAAACTCAATTCACATCTTGGTCCTAAACCCAACCCCCAACCCACCAATGGAATTTAAACCAAATGGGGACTCGACCTTTGTCCCCAAATGCACCAGCTGTCCCCAAAGGTAGGCATTTTGTCTTAAAATTGCCCCCAAGTGTCACCAGAAACACCCCGCCCCCCACAAACATCTGTTCTTCTATCCTCATGGGAACTTTGCATTCACTTCTATTCATTTGCCAGTTATTTCTATAGCTTAACCCTGACCCCTTACCCTAAGTCTAACCCCTACAGTACAGACCTACCTAACCCCAAAMTTAGCCTCATCTCAATTTACACCTTGGTCCTAAACCCAACCCCTGACCCACCAACAGTATTTCCCCCAATGTGGACCAGGCTTTTATCCCCATAAGGAACAGTGGGTCCTCATAATCATAAGGCTGTGTGTACCAGGAAAATGGTCAAAATTGTCTTCGCCAGGTGACAAAAACATGTACACACGCACGCACCATGCAAATGCCAGCATGTTTTCTGCTTGTTTTAACTTTAACAACGAGCTGCTTCAGTAAACATCAGCACTCATTCAGTGCTCAGCATCCACGCTGCATTTTTATAGAGAATGCATTTTAGTTCTTATTAGTGTTGTTGTGTTATGATTTATGCAACAGCCCTTGTCCTTCACTGCGGTGTTACGCTCATATCATGTCTTTGTTTGTAATAAARGAGATAAACAATAAGGCTGAAGTGACTCTTCATAATCAGCAGTGATTGGATCCATAGTCAGCGCATGTTTTTGTCCTAATTTACGTTTCTACACACGTTCGGATAGATTTTAGAAAAAGGATGTGGTGGACAGAAACAAAAGAGAATCTAATAAAGTCCCCGCGCATCTCAAAGTTAAACAATCCTCTTTCTTTCACTGTGTATTGAAAGAAACAAAACAACTCCAGGGCTGAAATGGTTGTGTTTTATCAAATGCATATTGTAATTCTCAACAATCAGACCTGTTTGAACCACTGAGGGGCCTTTGCTGCGTATTTAATTTGCAGCACGTCTCAGCCGGTTCCAGCAGACTCTACTGGTGCTTCATTGCTGTGAATGTGACCTGTCTGAATGTTAAGCAGGTTCCTGCACAGAGGATAATTATTTAACAAACTGACTAATCAGATTAAAAGGTTGACAACAGCGTTCTCAGAACGTTAAAGGCTCAGTTTGAAATTAAGATCAAATATTGAGAAATAATAGAGTTGGAAGTGATTTGGTCAAACCTTGAAAAAGACTCTCATTTACTACATAAATATGGTCACTAATACCTTTTATAGCTCACTTTCCAAGTGTAAAATCCTTGTTAAAATATTTACACTAATATTTGATTATTTAACTCAACATT